AGTCGTCGTCGTCGTCGTCGTCGTCGTCCTTGTGCGTCCGTCCGTCCGCCAGTCAGTCAGCCAGTCAATCAGTCAGTCAGTCGTCGTAAGTCGTCGTCTGTGGTCATCCTCGTCGTCGTCGTCGTCGTCGTGGTCGTCATCGTCGTGGTCGTCGTCGTCGTCGTCGTCGTCGTCGTCGTCGTCGTTGTTGTTGTTGTTGTTGTTGTTGTTGTTGTTGTTGTTGTTGTTAATTTTGTCGTCGTCGTCGTCAAGTGCAGCGGGCCTACCCAACACACCCCGCTGCGGGGCATTCGCAGTGAGTGGGTGTCGTTGTCGTCGTCGTCGGCGTCGTCGTCGTCATTGGCAGCAGGCCTACACAGCACCCCTCCCACGGGGCATCCGAAGTGTGCCGTCATGGTCGTCGTCGTCATGGTCGTCGTCGTCGACGACGAGAGCGGTCCCCCCCCATAGAGCATCCGAAATGTGTCGTCGTCGTCGTGGTCGTGGGCGTGGTCGTTGTCGTGGTCATCGTCTTCGTCGTCGTCGTTGTCGTCATCGTCATCGTCATCGTCGTAGTCGGCGAATGATTACAGCGGGCATGCGCAGCACACCAACCCCCCTCCATGGAGCATCCGCAGTTTGTCGTTGCCCGCCGTTGCCCGCCGTTGCCGTCGCCGTCGACGTCGTCGTCGTCGTCGTAGGACATATTGTAGAGGAGGGGGGGTTGGAGAAGAAGGAGAAGCCCTTTCCGCCTGCCTCTGCCGCTCATCCCCTCTCTTCCCGTTTTTGTTTGCAGTCATGCTGGCACCGCCCGCCAGCTGAGGCGCCTCTTCCCCCCGCCTCCTTTTTTCTGCTGTCTGCAGCCAGCGCCCCGCTACAGCGGGGTCGCTGGAGCGGCGTTGCTTGCGTCGCGCCTGTCGCCAACTCGCTGGCGGCGGGGCGTCGGCGCTAAATCACCGGCGCCGCCGCCGTGTGTTTCTGTTTGGCGAGCGCTCCCCCCACACACACGAACCGCCCGAGCAGGGACCAATTCTTTAATCGCGCGCACCCCGTGTTTTCAATCATCAGAACCATCACGAGATTGACAACGTTACAAATAAGAGCCATGACAAGAATAATCCGCAACAGAAACATCAACTGTCGGAGCTGTGCGCGGATTTCTTGGATCAGCGCTGGGCCCCCAGCGGCGCTTCCTTTGCCGCCGTGGGCGCGTTGTGCGCGCCGACGACGGTGTCCAATTTCCCATCCGCGATGACTCTCGCTGCCCATGCTTGGGGGAGGATGGGGGCAGAGGGGGGCCGCACCATAGTGCGTAGGTACGCACGTACACTCGAAGGGTGTGCGTCCTGCTCGTGCGACCTCGTCTCACAGCGCTGTCGAGTCCCAGTATGTGCATGCATGTTTGTACGTTTCATTCCGTTTGTATATGCGGCGTCCTGTCTTCTGCCGGCAGGTGACCCTCGCGCGACAAGGGGGATGACCACAAGGGTACATCAAGCCGCGCCAACGATGTTGCAGTAACTCTTCTCTCCAAGTTCCCTTTTTCATGGGTCGCTGTTGCAATAAGTATTTTCTTTGTGCGAAGTGCCCCATAGAAAACTTTGTTTTTGGAATCCTCACTCGTGCCGAAACAACATTCCTGGGACTTCAGCGCCGCGAAGCAACGTGACTGTCGCGTCTTGTCAGTTTTGAATCGTGCGACATCACCGCGGATCAACGTGAATGTTGCGCCCTGACTGTCCTCACCGTGCCAGAGCACCATGTTTTGGGCCTACACCGCACGATTTTAAAAAGGAGCCGCCTCCCTCTGTGATGCTTTTGACAACTGTTACCACGAATGTGCGCGGCTTTAATGCGCGATCCACACTCTGTACAAACACCGCCCTCCATTTCCACTTTTGTTGCATGATTAAGGCGAATGTGCGCGGAGCGCCCACGCGAGAACCGCATTGTGAAAATTATTGACGCTTCGCGCAGCCCCGCCAGCCCATCCAAAAACGATGCTCATGCGAACTGCCCTTTTTTCATACGTGCGGGGGAACGCGCAGTGGAGGAAAAACCGTGGAGGTGCTCGCCCCAGCATGGGGAAGATGGAGGAGAAACCGTGGGAGGAGCAAGACACGGAAGGGGGAGGAAGAGGAGGGGGAGGAGGAGGAGGAGGAGGAAGAGGAGGAGGAGGAGGAGGATGAGGAGGACGAGGAGGAGGAGGAGGTCAGCCCACGCCGCAGGAGGATGAGGAGAACGAGGAGGAAAACCAGCGGAAAACCAAGGCTCATCGACGATGTTGGAGCGACCCCTCCCTCCAAGCTCCCTCGTTCAGAGGCCCCATACAAGGGTTCATTTCCACAGGGAACTACCGCGTTGGGGGAGAACCGATTCAAAACCCTGAAGCGTGCCAAAACATCATTCTCGGGATTCCAACGCCATGAATCAACATGACTGTTGCGTATTGACCGTCTTGATTCTTGCCAGGACACCATTCCTATGACCGCAACACCACGAACCAACGTAACTAATTGTTGCGCCCTCACTATCCTGAGTCTTTCCAAGATTATTTTCCGGCGCGTTGGCCATGGGAATATGGGGAATTCTTGCATTCGTGCAACGATAGTGCGCGGCACGAAAGCGCGCGGCTCTGAGGCGAAAACAGCATTTCGAAAACGAACCGCCTTCACTCCGCGAAGGTATGGCAAATTTCTAAAACGAAGGAGCGCGGCGCTAAGGCGAGAGTAAAATATTGAAAACCGAAGCGTCCTCAATCCAGAATGTGGGCGGCGTTGAGGCGGGAGCCACATTTTGAAAACGAACCGCCCTCAATCCGCAAAGCTCTGGCACACATTTAAAAATAATTTGGATGGCGCTAAGGCGAGAGCCACATTTTGCAAAACACCCGTTCTCAATCCGTGAAGCCCCTGCACATTGTTTAAACGGATGTGCGCGGTGCTAGGACGAGAGCCACATTTTTGAAAACCACCTGCCCTCAATCCTTGAAGTTCTTGCGAGTTTGTGCAGCGAATGTGCGCGGCGCTAGGGCGAGAGCCACATTTTGGAAGCGACCCGCCATCCGTATGTGAGACTGTTGCCAATTTCTCAGCTGCAGGTCATAAGTGGTGAGGAAGTCTCAGGCGAAATACCCGACCCGCCCTTTTGACCGGCCTCGGGGTGCGACAGGGAGGAGTTATCTGTAAGGAAAAGGAATGGAGGAGGAGGGGGGAGGAGGGATACGGCAGGAGGGAGAAAGGAGCAGGGAGGTGAAGGATTAGGCGGATGAGGAAGAGGAGTAGGATGATTGTGAGCGGGAAGGCCAGAGGCCTTTTGAATGCTTGTCGGAGTTTCTTCGGATGTCTCTTGAGAGCTTTTTGTAGGCCTGCTGGGGCGCCTTCCCGCAAATCGAAAACCACCCGCCCTTCATGCTTGAAGCTGTTGCAGATTTCAAGGTTCAGGGGACCTATTCGCCCCCCATCCTTGAAATCGTTGCGAATTCCAAGCTTCAAGATCAGAAAAGGTGAACACGTCTGTGGCGAAACGCCTGGTCCGCCCTACCGACACGACTGGGGGTGCGACTAGGAGGAGCTGTTGATAAGGACACCAGATGGAGGAGGAGGAGGGGGAGGAGGAGGAGGAGGAGGAGGAGGAGGAGGATGATGAAAAAACACCATGAAGGATGGAGAGGATAAGGAGCAGGAGGAGGAGGAGGAGGAGGACGGGAGGAGGGGGGAGTAGGATGAGGTAGTAGAGTAGTGAGGAGCACTGAGCATGAGGTGAAGGAGGGAGGAGGAGAGGAGGGAGGAGGGAGGAGGAGGAGACCTGAGAGGACCAGGAGGAGACAAGAGGATAAGAGTGGGAGGAGGAGGAAGTGGAGGAGTAGGGAGGAGGAGGAGGAGGAGGAGAGGAGGAGGAGAGGAGTAAGAGGCGGAGGAGGCGCCGGAGAAGGAGGAGGAGGAGGAGGAGGAGGAGGAGGAGAGGAGAACCAGGAGGAGGAACCAAGAGAAAAGATGAGGTAGGAGGAGGGGGAGGAAGGAGGAGAGAGGAGGAGGAGAGGAGGAGGAGGAGGAGGAGGAGGAGCAGGAGTAGGAAGGAGGAGGAGGAGATGAGGAAGAGGCGGAGGAGCGCAGGAGGCGAGCGGAGGAGGCAGGAAGTCGAGAGAGAGAGGCAGAGGAGGAGGAGGAGGAGGAGGAGAGAGGAGGAGGAGGAGCAGAGCAGGAGGAGGAGCAGCTGGAGAGTGAGGAGAAGGAAAAACATACCGCTCCGTGCGCCCCGCGCCCGGCCTCCTCTGTGCGCCCCGCCCCTCGAGAGAGCCCGCCGCCGCCCGCCCCTCGGCCGCCCGCGCCCCCCAAGCGCAGGAACACGGCAAGCAGGCGGGCCCCTGCTTCATGGTCTCCTGGAAGGCGGAGCGGGAGGCGGCCGGCCCAGCCGCGCCGGAGGGAGTGGGGACGGGTCGGTGTTCCTCCTCCGCCGCCGCCTCCTCCTCCTTCTTCCCC